CTGAATGGTGGAGGATTGAAAGCTTTTCCTCTAAGCTCTCAATCTAAGACCAGAAACAAGACAAGGGTGCCCACTCTCACCACTCCTATTCAACATAGTGCTGGAAGTCCTAGTCAGAGCAATCAGACAAGAAAAAAGAAATAAAAAGTGTCCAGATCAGAAACGAAGAAGTAAAATTGTCTCTGTTTGCAGATGATATGATCTTATAGATAGAAAATCCTAAAAATTTTAAAACCAGCAAAAGAACTGTTAGAACTAATCAACTAATTCAGTAAAGTAGCAGAATACAAAATCAACATACAAAATTCAGTTGTGTTTCTCTATACTAACAATGAAATTATTGAAAAAGAAATAAAGGAAATCTCATTTACGATAGCATCAAAAACAATAAAATACTTATGAATAAATTTACCCAAGGAGATAAAAGATCTGTACACTGAATAAGACTTTGATGAAAGAAATTGAAGAGGACACAAATAAATGGAAATATATCCTGTGTTCCTAGGTCAGAAGAATTAATATTGTTAAAATGTCCATACTACCCAAAGCCATCTATAGATTCGATGCAATCCCAATCAAAATTCCAATGGCATTTTTCACATAAATTTAAAAAAATCATAAAATTCATATGGAACCACGAAAGACCTTGAATAGCCAAAGTAATCCTGAGAAAGAAGAACAAAGCTGGAGGCATCACACTTCCTGATTTCAAACTATATTACAAAGCTATAGTAATCAAAACAGTATGGCATAAAAATAGACACATAAAACAATGGAACAGAATCAAGAACCCAGAAATAAACCCTCACGTATACCGTCAACTAATATTTGACAAGGGAGCCAGAATACTTCACAGGGAAAGGACCGTACCTTCAATAAATGGTGTTGGGGAAACTGGATAATCACTGCCAAAGAATGAAATTGGACCCCTATCTTACACCGCACACAAAAATTTACTTGAAATGGATCGAAGACTTAAATATGAGACCTGAAACTCTAAAACTCCTAAAAGAACACATAGGCAGTAAGCTCCTTGACACTGGTCTTGGCAATGATTTCTTGGATATGACACCAAAAGCACATGGAACAAAAGAAAAAATAAATAAGTGGGACTACATCAAACTAAAAAGCTTCTGCACGGCAAAGGAAACAATCAAGAAAATGATAAGGCAACCTATGGAATGGGAGAAAATATTTGCAAACCGTATATCTGATAAAGGGTTAATATCCAAAGGGCTTAATATAAAGAATTTATACAATTCAGTAGCAGAAAAACAAACAATTCAATTAAAAAATAGACAGAGGAACTGAATAGACATTTTTCCGAAGAAGACGTATGAACGTCCAACAGGTACACGAGAAGATGCTCAAGATCACTAATCAGGGAAAAGTAAATTAAAACCACAATGAGATATCACTTCACACTTGTTAGAATGACTGTTACCAAAAAGACAAGAAATAAGTGTTGGCAAGGATATGGAGAAGAGGGAACCCTGGTGCACTGCTGGTGGGAATGTAAATTGGTGCAGCAACTATGGAAAATAGTATGGAGGTTCCTCAAAAAATTAAAAATAGAACTACCATATGACCCAGCAATTCCATTTCTGGGTATATATCCAAAGGAAGTGAAATCAGGGTCTTGAAGAGATGTCTGCACTCCCATGTTCATTGCAGCGTTATTCACAATAGCCAAGATATGGAAACAACCTAAGTGTCCATCAGTGGATGAATGAATAAAGAAGATGTGTTATATATGTACAATGGAATATTATTCAGCCATGAGAAAGAAGGAAATCCTGCCGTTGGCAACAACATGGATGGACTTTGGAGGTATTATGCTAAGTGAGATAAGTCAGACAGGGAAAGACAAATAGTGTATGATCTCACTTATGTGTGGAATTTTAAAAAGCCAAACTCCTGAAAACAGAGACTAGAATGGTAGTTGCTGGGGGCTGGGTGTGAAGGATATGGGGAGATATTGGTCAAAGGGTACAAACTTCCAGTTATAAGATGAATAAGTTCTAGAGATCTAATGTGCATCAAGGTGACTATGGTTAACAATACTGTGTGATATACCTGAAAGTTGCCAAGAGAGTAGGTCTTTTTTTTTTTTTTTTTTTTAAATTTTATTTATTTATTTTTCCCCCAAAGCCCCAGTAGATAGTTGTATGTCATAGTTGCACATCCTTCTAGTTGCTGTATGTGGGACGTGGCCTCAGCATGGCCGGAGAAGCGGTGCATCGGTGCGCGCCTGGGATCCAAACCCGGGCTGCCAGCAGCGGAGCGCGCACACTTAACCGCTAAGCCACGGGGCCGGCCCCAAGAGAGTAGGTCTTAAATGTTCTCACCACACACACACAAACGTAATTATAGGAAGTGATAGAGGTGTTAACTAATCTTACTGTGTTAATCATTTCACAATATAGAAATATATCAAATCGTTACATTTTACACCTTAAACTCACATGTTATATGTCAATTATTATCTCAATAAAGCTGGGGAAAAAAGATAAACAAAAAACGATTTACAATTCAAAAAAAATGAGACTGACTTTTACACAAGCATGCTATACTGGGTTGAATAGTGGGCCCTAAAATTCATGCCCACCTGGAACCTTAGAATGTGATCTTATTTGGAAGTAGGGTATTTGAAGATGTACTCAAGTTAAGATGAGGCATACTAGATTGCGGGGTGGGGGGGGTGGCGCTGATCCAATGTGTAGTAGTTAGGAAGTTTGGACATAGACAGAGAGGAGAAGACCGTGTGAAGACGGAGGCAGGGATCGGAGGGATTCATCTACAAGCCAAGGGAGGCCAAGGATTGCGGACAACCACCAGTCACTAGTTGAGAAGCATGGAATGGATTCTCTCTGAGAGCCTCCAGGAGAACCAACCCTGCCGCCACCTTGATTTCTAGCACTGACCATGAGAGAATAAATGTCTGTTGTTTTAAGCCTCCTCGTTTGTGGTCGTTTGTTAAGGCAGACGGAGGAGGCTAACTCACACCAGCCCCAGACCTCTTCTGTCAGCCGGGGGAGCTGCAGTAACAAAAGGCCCCCTCCCCCCATTCTTAGGGGCTTACAACAACAAAGATATGCTTCTCACTGCAGCCCCCCCATGTCCATCACAGATTAGCTGCCTCTCTACACCATGTCCTCTTCGTCAGGGACCCTGCAGACAGAGCAGCCTCTGTCTAGAATATTGCCTCTATCTGGTCTGTGGCAAAGGAAACAGAATACAAAAATTCAAAGATTTATGGGATTAGAGGATGAATTTGATTCTCATTTCCAACCATAACACTGAAGGGCTTTTCAGTGACAACGTTCTGATCAACTCGGTCCTGGGGCAGGGAACTCATCAAGAGCAGGGCCGTCAGGCTCTTGTTAAATCCTCTGAATCAGTTAAGGTGGTCTCAGGATTGTTTTGGCTGAACAAGGTGGCAGAGGGAAAAGAGCGTGGAGACTGTGCGTTGCCCCGTGAAGCTTCTGCCCCCAAGTGACCCCCAGCCCTCTGCTCACATATCGGCCAGAGCAAGTCTGAGGTCACCATGTGGTGTGTACAACCCACTGCAAGGAGGGCAGTGACTTTGCTTAGCAATGCTGTAATCTACCCCCTTCTCAGAGGATGGCCCCTTCGGGACTCACTCTGGTACAGTGATGCTGAGAAGTCCTGTGGAGGATCTCCAGGGCAGCGTATTGTGTCGTATGAGAAACTGACTATTGACTTTATGGTTTTTGACCCCAAGTGGCAGTCCCCAGGTGGCTCATCCACTCAGTCCCCAGATGTAGTTACAAATGATTTTTAGTTTATTTCCCAAAATTAAATCCACCCTCAAGTGGTGAAAATTTGCCACTGTCAAGGCTAGTCAAAGGAGGGTACTCCGGGCGACTCCCAACGAGGAACTACAGAAATGTCGTGAGAAATGACAGCATCCCTGAAACCACTGGTCAGCCTCCCGCAGGACTCCCGAAAGGGTACAGTGCTCGGTGAAGTAGTATATATAACATGTACAATAAGTTATACAATACATTGTGATATGTGAATATAGGAAATATGAGGCTGCGTGAGCGTGTGTGTGTATAGCATCTCCTGATGTGCTGGTTAAAAAGGAAATCAGCATGGCGTTAGGCCTCCCCAGCACGAGTCCTGAAGCAGAGGCACAACGACAGAAGGATATCGGGCTGCATGTAAGCTTCCTGTGTGCCAGGCAGTGATGGTTGACGTGGGTTACCTCACTTTACCTCTGCAGGGCTGGGACTAGGGTGAGGTGGATGACAGACCCGGGGCCTAGAACGTAAGGAGACCCCCACTCAGGGCTGCACAGGTGCAGGACGGGTGCTGTGTGGCCCTGACTGTGAGCGCCTCCTTCAGCTCTGGGTCCTGAGTGCCTCACCCGCCTCAGCCTAGTCCCAGACCTGCAGCAGTCCTGTGAGGTGCAGATCATCAGCTCCCTCCACTGCAGATGGGGGGACAGAGGCTTATGGAGGTTACTAAGTCAGTAGGCAGGGAGAGGGGGAGCGAGGGTCTGGAGGCAGGCAGGGAGTGGGGGAGTGAGGGTCTGGAGGCAGGCAGGGGGTGGGGGAGCGAGGGTCTGGAGGCAGGCAGGGAGGGGGGAGCGAGGGTCTGGACGCAGGCAGGGAGAGGGGGAGCCAAGGTCTGGAGGCAGCCAGGG